CTAAATGGATGCATAATCATAGCCTGGAAAATCTCTAGTGATGGCAATTACCCAACTTCATTTGGCAGTTTGTTCTTTTGACTTAATCAGCGTTATAGCTAAAAAGTATTTCCTACTATTTAACCTACATCTCCCCTGCTGCATTTTGGTGACCAGTAAATTGATCCTTGTCTGTATCATTTGTTAAATTTGCCTAGTGCAGGGGGATTTTTGGATAAAAGGTTTGACAGGAATATCAGTTGATGCCAATCATGCAGGGGGATAACTTCGTAAACTATTCAAAAAGCTGTCACTTCTGAAACACGGGATGTGGTTACTAGCAATGTTACACAACTATCTAGGACAGGAAGAAGGGAATACTCACAAGAAACAACAGTGTGAATCTCTGGAAAGGGGACATCAAGATTCAGGTGTGGTGCTGCTGTTGGCACTCCCACTGTCAAAACAGTATACCAAAAAAACCCATTTCTTCTAAAACTTTACCAGAGAAGTGAGTGTCCTTTTTTGAGTTACATACAGGAAACTGTGACTCAAGCAAAGGAAATGACTAGCCAACAGCAAGCCTATGACAGAGCCAAGAGCTAAACACTGGTTGCCCATATCCCATTCTGTAACTTTGGCACCAAGCCTGTGCTTTTTGTCTTTTTTTTTTTTTTTTTTAAAAGCACAGATTAAAGGCCGGCAAAGATTAAAGGCCGGGGGGGGGGGGGGGGGTGGGATGCTTTTAGGCAACATCTTCTGCACATCTTGACAGAACACTGATTACTACTGCAACAAACAGGAAGGAGATTTGCCATTTCTGAATTCCAAACTACTCCCTGCAGCAATAATACCTTATTCCATTCAGACTTGTTATCACTAATTTAGTACAAACGAAAAGACGAGGCTGAAACCCTGTCACCACCACACTGTACAGAACACCATTCTCTGCCGCAGCGATTACCCAACGCTGCTCAGGAAACCAATAAACTCTCCCTAAAGCCATCCTGGATTTTTCACGCGGTAGTAACTTACGAGGAAGACTTTTTGCTGAAGCTGCTGTGCGTTCAAAAGAAATCTTTGGTTTTGCACAATCTGAAGAATGTATTGATTTTTAATTATTCTAAATAAAGCAAATGAAAACGGATCGCAATGGAGCAACAGTTTTTTAGCTTCTTTTTCTCGGCAGCTGCTGACCTCAAGTGGCAATAAGGCGTAATGACAAGAGTACACACACAGGGCTACAGAAAAAAAATTAGGAACTCAGCTGTTGAAGTATCATGAACGAAGATCCATGCAAGCAGGGAACCGACATAAAAATCGCTATATAAACACAGCCCTTTATAGTCTCTTTCTGTTCTTTGAACCTGCAAGGATTTATGTTTTAATGCTTCACTGGATGGCATGAAACCTTAAATTTTATCCAGGGCTTTGACAAAAAAAATAGCAAAGAAACACAGCCATTAATGAGTCTAAAAATTATTTGTAGTACATTATGTGAAGTAAAGTAAGTTACAGCAACATTAATGGGGATATTTTACTGGCATAAAAGTCTGAAGACCCCAACGATTCCTGTATCATTCTTTCTTCACATTATTCCCTCAATCGCTCCAGAACAAGCAACACTGAGTGCCTCACTTGGCCTGAAATGTTTCAGCTTTTCAGTTCATCAGTAATGGATAAGATGGAGAGAAACATCCTTTACTTTCAAAGCGAAAAAGCTACAACGGGTGGGGAGACCTCCAAAATACCATCTTCATTTTTCATGGTGACAGTACCTGCTACTCTAAACCTGCATTTGGTCAGTTTATTCAAATATGCAACTGGTATACTCAGAACGTATGTAATTAGAATTCTCATAAAATCTGTTTGAAACTACTTTAGTATTTCATGCCTCTACCACTGAAGCAAAAAGAATTCAGACACATATGTAATATAAATAAATCTCTGCCCAAACTTAAAATGACTGTTTTATCAATTATCAGCAAACTATTACTTTTTTTTTCACTGCTGGCTCTTCAGTGTTTATATTAGATTCTTACTTTTTCCACGCAAATTCTTCCCAAACCTTCCCCAAATCTTGAATTACTCCATTTCCAATTAACAAAAATGGTCAGAATTTTCCTGTTAGGTGGAAGTTACCTAGTCATGGCTCAAAATGCAGCAAAAATGCAAAATTTTAAGTTACAATAAAATATAAACCAAAACATTATACATACAATATATTAAATTATTAATTTTTATATTGCTTTCATTTTAACGTCTTTAAGACTGTCACAAACTACTGCAAAGACTGAAGAAAGCAGAATTTACTACAAAATTTAAGCAGGCTTTCAGCAGAGTGTGGATTATAGTACACTTGACAAATACAAAAAATTCACATTACCCTGCAATGTACTATTTCAAGAAAAAAAGATGTTTTCATTTTCACATGCATAAGCAAAGGAGCAAAATTAAGTTTCTCCAAGAAACATTTACCTTAAATTTCTTAATTGGCATCTTACATCTTCTTCTTTCTCCTGAACAGTAAGTGTTCCATAATTTTCTCCCCTGTTGTCATGCAGTAGAAGTTATGAAAAAAACCAACTCCAGCTAGCATGTTGAAGACAAAATTTTAAATAATCAGTACACATCCCTTCCTTACATTCATAGCCAATGGTTTGTAAAGAGACACAAATGGATGATTTAAGATATGTAAATTATGTTTACATACGCAAAAAAAGACACTACTTGTTGACATTGGTATTACATATTGCTAGGAAAGAAACACAGCTCACTCTCAGGTACAGCTCAAAAGGAAGAAGAGCCAAATCCTCAAGTCATAGACAAATCATCATTTCCTGACAAATGACATTAGGATTTAACAAAAAGGGTTTGTACCAACAGACCATCACCACCTCTTAAAATTTCTCTGATCACCATCTACCATTACCAATCCCTTAACCAACAAATTCATAATTGCTTATGCTTTAAGGGTCCTGCCAAGCTCTTAATGGAGTTTCATGGATCAGCAATTTTCCACATGTCCTATTTTGGGAATCAATGGACTGGAGGCCATAACACCTGTTCACTTTGCAGAAGCTGTGCTAGGATTTATATTTACAGTTTATCCACCAGCCCTGAGCTCAATGCTGCCTAATGCCCTATGATTGCTTCCACACTCCGTTCACTTCATCAAAATGAAGCTTGCTTGTTTGCCTCTTTGGCCTTTTTATGACTTTGCATCTTTTGGGGGGAAATAAGGACACTTTTCCCTAGTTTCTAAATACTTTCCAAGACTAGAAATGCAGTTCATGTTCTCCTTTCCAGTAACACATACATAGTTTTGCCAAAGTCTCTATGCTATAGTATGTAAACATTAACAATATTCTGTCCAAAACAGAGTTAATAGTTAAGGGATAAAAAAACTGCAGAAATGAAAAATTGCACAATCACTACAGAATTACCACAGTATGGTTTGTGTTGGAAGGGACCTTAAAGGTCACCTAGTTCCAAGTCTCCTGCCGCGGGCAGGGACACCTCCCACTAGACCAGGTTGCTCCAAGCCCCATCCAACCTGGCCTTGAACACCCCCACGCAGGGGGCAGCCACAGCTTCTCTGGGCAACCTGTGCCAGTGTCTCACCACCCTCACAGTGAAGAATTTCTTCCTAATAGCTAATCTAAATCTCTCTTCTTGAAGTTCAAAGCCATTACTCCTCTTATCACTACGCTCCCCAATAAAGAGTCCCTCTTCACCTTCCCTGCAGGCCCCCTTTAAGCACTGGAAGGCTGCTATAAGGGCTCTGAAGCCTTCTCTTCTCCAGGCTGAACAACCCCAGCTCTCTCAGCCTGTCCTCGTAGGGCAGGTGCTCCAATCCCTGATCATCTTCGTGGCCTTCCTTTGGATCCACTCCACCCAGTCCATCTCATGCTGAGGGCCCCAAAGTTGAACGCAGCACTGCAGGTGGGGTCTCACAAGAGCAGAGCAGGGAGGAGAATCACTTCCCTCAACCTGCTGGCCACACTTCTTTTGATGCAGCCCAGGATGTGATTTGCTTTCTGGGCTGCAAGCGCACGTTGCCGACTCGTGTTGATCTTTCTGTCAAGCAACATCCCCAAGTCCTTCTCCTCAGGGCTGCTCACAAATTTGCAACAAGCTCTGCCTCAACAAAATAACATCAAAGCTGATGAATTCATACAAGGTTCACTGAAGACACAAATTAGCCCAAATTTTTTATTAATGAGCATAAAGCAAAAAAGTACTTCATTTGACTCTAAAATCACAGATTGAGATTTAAGTGGTCAGTGGATAGAGAACATGTTCTTTTATTTACACATTAATTGCAAATGAAAGAGAAATTATACAGCATGCATTAACACACCAAAATCCAGCTGTGGTTAAAGCCTGCACTGACATTCTTGTTCTAACACCACCCAGGAACCATAGGTAATCCAGATACAAGAGCACAGGCTTCAGCACATGCCAGCAATTAAAATCCCTCCTCTAGGCCCCGGACTTGCTCATTGCTAACATGCGCTTGAACCTGAGCTGCTGCACCTTCACTCTGAGAGAGCATTTTAGCAGACTCTCCCTTCCGAAGAGACACACCCAACAATCTCTAGAGCTCCAACATTTAAAACAACTTTTCTCCTAAACAAGAGAGAATGAAGCCAAATGTGCCTAAAGGGGTTGTCAAAATTTTCCCAGACTGTAGGATCTCCTAACGTGGGATAATTACTTCACAAGGGAGGAAATACATTTCTGGTTAGTGCCCTTCTGGTCAATAAAATAACTAAGCTTAACAAAGGTTGACACACTTTTAA